CAAAATAAGAATGATTTTGGCTGGAGTCTGGGGAGATAACTTAGTCAGAAAAGTGCTTTCCTTAAAGCATAAAGACCCAAGTTTGAGGCCTAGAAGCCATTAAAAAAAAAAAAAAAAGCTGTCTGTGGTGGTGTGCTTGTAATCTTGCTCCTGGAGAGACAGAGGCATTAGGATTCCTGGGATTAGTTGGGGGAGCCAGCCTATTTGACAAGTTCCAGGCCAGTGAAAAACCTAGAATCAAAACAAAAATAAAAGGCAGGTGTGTGTGTGTGTGTGTGAGTGTGTCTGAGGGAAGATACTTGTGGCTGTCTTCTGTCTTATATGCACGGGTGTGCACACACAGAGATAAACACATGATCATGGTGGGTTCATTAGTTTTCAGCTTTTTTAATTCATTCTTGGTGATAATATATGATGACAACAAAAATAGTATGTTGTCATTGTTCGGGGAAGTCGAGGTTCTCAGGCATGTTTGCGTCTGAGTTATGGAAAAGTGAGTTTTTGAAATGTGCAGGGTAGCAACCTTCTGTTTTTGGATTCTAAATAAGTGAAAATTTGGGGATTGCTACAAACCAACTGGAAGTAGAAATCTGCATGCCATATTTTTTTTTTTTTTTTCCCCTTTATCATGTCTTATTGTTTCAGTCATTTGCTTTGAGATCTTTAAGCTGGGACATGTTACTTATAATGAGGTAAAGAAAGCGACCTGGTTCCTGAGAAACTTTTCATTATTGTTAAAATGAATTTGATAGAGTTGAGCCCTCTTCTGGGGCTTCCCTATAGCTGTTGCTTGCTGTTGGTAAATATTCATAAATCTGCTGTCATGGAAATTAAATGGAATGGCTCAAAATTACTTTAGGGCCATAAAGAGGGCTCAAAAGAGTGAACAGGGAGGACACACTTTGTTTGCAGAGTTGGAATAAAGAAAGCATTCGTTTTGTCTATAGGCGACAGGACACTCTCTACCCTGGAAAAGAACCCTGAAGAACTTAACAGGTAGTGCTCAAGGCAACACTTACATGTGTGTGGGGGGGGACAGCAGGTTGTGCCCGTGCTAGAGTTGACATCCTCTGAGGAGTCTGATGGCAACTTCTTAGAAGCTCATAATAGTAAGAAAGACTGGTGTCACAGACTGTATTTTGGGTTACACTCTCTCCTTTTTTTTTGATAGTAAGAAAGACTGGTGTCACAGACTGTATTTTGGGTTACACTCTCTCTCTCGTCCTTTTTTTTTTTTATGCTAACCCAAGGACTTTTATTAGGTCAATACATATTTGTGGAGTAAATTCAGAGACAGTGAGGTCCCAGGTGTTAAATGCATACCTGTGAACACACACACACCTGTGAAGGCCCAAGCTATCTGTGAAGCACTGATAAGCTGAGGGACTTGTGAGGGGGCTATTCTGCTAGTGTTCACACTTAACATTAGCAATGCATAGTTCCCTCTGTCCTCCCTTTCACTATCACTGTATAGGCAGATCTATACTCTTGGGTCGGGGGAGGGGGATTCAATGGCTCTGATGATAATGGTGCTGTGTTTAGTCTGAGGCTCTTCCCAGAGACAGACTTTTGTTCTTGGGACTCACTTAAAGGAAATCTATCATCTAGGAACTCAAATGTATCAGCAATATTTGTAGTTATGGAACATCAAGGTCAGGAGAGGGGGGGCTGCCTGTGAGGGCACTCCTGTCACTGGTTTTGAAAAGCTGACTCTTAGGGTTATTAGCTGCCTCAATTTACAACGCTATATACTCTTGAACACCAAATGCTCATTATCAAAAATTAAAGAAGCATAGAGAGCCGAGACATGAATCACATTTTGGATAATAGATTTTAGAACGTGCTTATGATTGTTAAGATTAACTTGACCTAATAACTCACGCAGGTTTCCACTGGGCACACAATCCAGGGTCTCGAGAGTACTTTGTCTCCATGAGCATGAGGGAACAGAGAAGCCCCCTTGTTTCTGTTTCCCCTGTGGTGCCTAAGTGGCAGCTGACACTGGGCAGGTGAAGCTCGGTGTGGAGTCCACAGCCTCCACTCCACAGCTCTCTATGTCCTTAGGTTCTAACTGTGCCTGCTTCATCTGACCCTTTCTTCAGGAAGGGAACAAGGGAACATTAGCAACTGTAGTTTCCAAGGATTGACAATGGTTCAACGGGTGTTAGGAGGTGGACTAGATTCCCTAAAATCCATACGTTGAAATCTTAGTCTTAGGAGTAAGATTTGGAATATGGCTGTGTAGAAATAAGGTCTGTGATACGGTGATAAAGGTCAAATAAGGTCACCATGGTGGACCCTTATCCATATGCCTATGTTTTATTAAGAGGAGTCTAGGAGACAGACACAGAGGAAAGACCAGGGGAGGACATAGGGTGAAAAAAGCACAATGGTCAGCACCTTGCCCTTCTAGCCTCTAGCATCAGTAGGACATCAATAGCATGTAATATGTCCTATCTGTGCTTTGACATGCATGCATACGTGTTGAGTGTGTGGTGGTCAGAGGACAGCTTTGAGAAGCTGGTCGTCTTCTTCCATTTTGACACTGGTTCAGGGATTGAATCCAGTCCACCAGGTTGGTGAGGTGAGCACCTTTACCTACAGAACCATCTCAACAATGAAGATGCCTGCTTCTACTAAATTTTATAACTAAGTTCTGGAAATCCGAACCAGAGTTCAGTGACACGCATGTTAAATTGTTCATTAGCTCTTGGCCCCTTTTGGGAAAGGTTTTTCTTTTTTTCTTGAAGAATTTCCTCATTACAACAGTTTTTGAGCTTAGCCTTCTGAGAAATCTCATAGATGGCCTCACTGACTATCTGTGGATATTTTTGTATCAACCCCGTTTCTTCTTGAGCTTCTCACGCCATGGGGCTGATTTGGGCATGGAGTTCCCACCGATTTCAAAGGACTCTCAGGTAAAAGGAGAAATAGGCTTGCAGAAATTTCCCAATGATATTTTTGATTTATGAAAAGAGCATTGATAATATATATTAAAAAAGAGTATGAATGTTAGTCTTGATGGGTTATCATGGGTGGCAGCCAAACGAAGCCTAGCCAATCTCTTCCAGTAGGGGGGAAATGCTTTTGAATGAACTACAGTTGGTAAATTCAGTCATTATACTGCAGGGAAAATTTTAGGTTCTTTTATGGTTTCAAAGGTGTAAGAATAGGCTAAAGTTAAGCCAAATCATGCTTTTTAAAGGCAGATATACATTTCATCATCACCATAACATGAATGCAAACAGTATACACTATCTTGATAAACACACAATGCATAAAATTTCAGGGAGGTATTTTCTGAGTTTTTCTAGACTTTCCAAATACCTAAGGTCAGTTGCTTTACATTTGTGGGGACCCAGACATTGACCAGATATGTCTATGATATCCTGTCACAGATTGGGAATTTTATTTAGTTTTTTTAATGTTTATTTTCCTCCACCTCACTGTGTGTGTCTGTGTGTGTGTGTGTGTGTGTGTGTGTGTGTGTGTGTGTGTGTGTGTGTGTAGGCTCAAAGTTGTGGAGAATGGTCTGACCAACATCACTGCTTCACTTACTCATTGGGTAGGAACTTTCAGTCAAGCCTAGAGCAAACTGACGAAGCTAGTCCTGCTAAGCAACTCATTTTGGGGATCTATCTGGTCTCCTTCTTGGCTGAAATTTCACTTGGGGCATCAAGATCATCCAGCATTTATGGGGATTCTGGGAATCTGAATTATGGTCCTCATGCTTGTCCATCAAGCGCTTTTACATCAGATATCTCCCCAACCTTGTAATCATAATTTTATCCATATACCTTCAGACAAAAAGAACTTACTGCAAACATGCAAGAGTATGTAATACAGGAACAGGAAATAATGATAACAAGACTCCAAGGACTGACTCTTTGCAGTATCTTTTTATTGACTTAAAAACTTCTCTGTTTTTTTTTTAATATTTCCTTCAATCTATTCACACCTCCCCCCTCCCTGCCACCATTTGTCCAGTGTAAGTATTGTTTCTAGCACAACAATGCCCAGATAAATATTGGTACTCCTTGACTGACAGTGGGGGACACACAACCCCATTATAAATTGAAAATATTGGAAACTGAATATACATTTAGGATTAATTTGCTCTATTATGACTTTAATTATACAGGTTTATGGAATAGGTTGATAATGAAAACATGTATGCAGTTTTTAATGATCAAATCAGGGTAGCTAATAATCCCATCTTCATAAGCATTTCTTAAACATTTCTCAATAACAGAAACTAACTAAAAAATTGTGTGTGTGTGTGTGTGTGTGTGTGTGTGTGTGTGTGCTGCCATGAATGTAGTGGGGTATGTATGGGGTTAGGGAACAACATTTGAAAGGGGGTCTTCCTGCAGGGTCTCTCCTGTTGTTTCTGCCATGGGGCCTCCTCCAGGCTGGCTGGCTTGGGAGCCTCCTGCTCCCATCTCCTGTAGGAGTGCTGGGATTGTGGATTTGTGCTGCCACTTTAGGCTTTTTCATGTGACCCCTGCTTGGGCTCGAACTCAGTTTGCCAGGCTTGTCCACCAAGCACTTTTACTGACTGAACCTCCTCTCCAGCTAACACATGATAATTATACACATCTAGAAGGGATAATATGTTGTTTCAATAAAGCATACAGATTGTACCAACTAAATGAGGGCAATTTGTGTTTCTGTCTTTTTAAAAACATTTTTTAGTTTGATAATTTGAGGAACTCCAAAGCCCTCAACTTTAGTTATTTATAAAATACGTGACAGAGCCGGATGTTGGTGGCGCACGCCTTCAATCCTAGCACTCGGGAGGTAGAGGCAGGCAGATCTCTGTGAGTTCGAGGTCAGCCTGGTCTCCAGAGAGAGTGCCAGGATAGGCTCCAAAACTACACAGAGAAACCCTGTCTCGAAAAATCAAAACAAACAAACAAACAAAAAAAGTGACAGATTATTGTGAGCTATATTCACTATACTGTGGAACATGAGACATTACTTCTTCATCACTAGCCACCATGGAGATACAAAAAGAACACTGTGATGAGATTGCATTGAATCCCATTAGAACAGTTGGCATCAGAACTACACAAAATAGGACTGCTGAGATGACTTACTGGACCACTGCACTTGCTGTCAAGTCTGATAACCTCAATTTGGTCCCCAAATCCCACCTGGTAGGACGAGAAAGCAAACTCTTGCAAACTGTCCTTTGACTTCCACATGTATGCCATGGTACATACTTGCCCTCCACAATATAAACAAAATTTTAGCAATATAAAAATAAATGCCATCTAGGATCTAGAGAAAGGGTGGCCACTGTTACAGATGCTGTGGAGTATAACTCAGGACAGCCATTATGGTTCCACAATATACAGGTTCCTTTAAAGCAAAAAGTATACTGTATGCTGATGCAGTAATCCCACTTCTGGATATGCACTCAGAAGAAACCATAGCAGCGCATGAAAGGCTGCACACCCGTGTTTATTGTTGCACTACTCCAAACACTTAATATATAGAATCATCCTTGATGCTTGCCCATGGGTGAGTGGATAAAGAAAATGTGATATGCACACCAGAATATTATCCAGCCAAAAGAGTATATGTTACCATGTCAGCAAAGTGGATAGAGCAAGAGAGTGTTTTGTTAAGAGAAATCAGACAGAAAATAATAACTATCCTATGTTTTCCTTCATATATGGATGTTCAATAAAGCTGTGTGAATGAATACACAATAGTGATTACTAGAATCTGGGGGTGGGGGTGGGGCAAGGGAAATATAGGGAGCTGGATAACAGGATTAAATTGAATGTAATACACCTAACCCACTGATGCTCTGGACTTAGTAGCATAGCACACCATGGAGATCACATAGTGGTTACAAAGCATTCCCAGTTAGCAGGCCAATGAAACATGGTAGAACTCAAAGGTGGGATTGCTGGCTGGGAGGTGAACACATATTTCCTTTAATCAGAGAACTATAATTCTGCCGTGCTTCAATTCTGACGTTCTTTCATGATTCATGTCTTCAAAGCACCAAATAAAGGGAAAGAAACAAGGAGACTGTATGAGAAACTGGCCACCAATGCCTTTTACGTTCTTGAACCCGAAACTATAAGTTCATTGACAAAGTCAACACATGGCCCTGGGATCCCAAATTCACACATAGGATAGGTATTTGACATTCTTACTCTGGGGTATGTAGCTTCACTGGTATCTAAGAAACAGTATTTCATTGAGAAGACAGTAGCGTTTAGAGGGAAGAATGAATAACCTCTTCCCCGGGTGTAACAGAGAGTGATCTTCATGCTCTGTGCCCATGTAGTCACTCACTCTGCTTCTTATCAGGTACAATATATTCCTGCTGGCAGCCTGATTTAATTGGGCTTGTGGTAACTGACTCAATTGAGCTCTTTAATTAGGTAATTATTTTGTTATGAGACACTTTCCAGCCAGAGAGAGAGAGAGAGAGAGAGAGAGAGAGAGAGAGAGGGAAACTTACCATTTTTTCCCTCAAGCTAAAAGCGGAACCTGCGTTCCTTTCTTTCAAAATAAAGTGGAATAAAATGGAACAGCTAAAGAATTAGGTTGAGGTCAAGCTATAGAGCCAAGAAAAACCAACTTTGACTTATGTATTGACGAGACAGGTGTGCTTTCGAGAAGTGAAGATACAATTAGTGTCTCTTGGATTGCACTGCCACAGGGTGTGCCAGGGCTGTTGAATACAGTGCCCTCTCCTCTCTCCTCTTTTTCTCAGACCCTATGCAAAAGAATAATCACCGGGAATAGAAAACAAGACAAAAAGGCATTTCCCGGTTCCTTCATTCTGAATAAACATCCCGGAATCCAGGGATATTTTTCCCAAACAAATTTAGCACCATCTTTCAAAATTTACTGAGAATGTTAGTCATTTATTAATTTCATTTACAGATTGACTTGAAGAAAAGCTTAGCCTCTGAAAATATTGCCCCAAGTGGACCTAGGATAAAAGCTATTTTCAAATTTTCACACTCTTGAGGCATTCAACCGTATTATCTTTTGTGGTCCCCAGCAGGAATGATTGCAAATAATCTAATGATACCTCAGATCAAACAAACAAATAATTAGAGTTGACACTAGAAGAGCCAACAAGACCCTAATTAATTGATTTGCTAATAGCTACTTGCCATTTACAGACATTAGCCCAAATTGGGTTTTAAGCTGTGACAGGGGCCACAAGATAGACATTTTCTTCCTCTAAACTCCTGATTACCCACTAGTCTCCCAGTTTCACCATTAACTAGTCTGTGGAGGTGTTTCTTTCCTAATGGGTTGAGGCTAATTCTCAATAGATTCCACCAAAACATACTATTCATTCATAAACTATTTGTGAAATGGTCACTCAATATAGTAATTATGTTTGTTTGTTTAGAACTGATTTTTAGCTTTACCTTTCAGCACAAAAGACAGAGCAGAAGGAAGCATTTCTCAATTAGATCCTCATTTGAATGAAGATATGTTACAAGTGGAACCCTCCCAAGCAGATAAGAATAATAGCAATTCTGTTCCAGATACCCAAGGGCCAGTGAAGGGTTATGTTCTTGTCATCGCCAGGCAATAAGCCATCCCCAAACTTAATGATGCAGATCAACAAGGATTCTGTTGTTTGTAACAACTTTGTGGGTTGGCTGAGCTCAGCCAGGGCATCTATTCTATTCTACTTGATGTTGTCTGGGCTACAGTCATCTGAAAGTCTTACGAGGCTAGACATTCAGGCCAGGCACCTGCAGGAGGTTGTAGGTGCCCTATCTCCAGTTACCATGTAGGCTTCTGAAATCACAATGGCTGGAGAAAGTGATCCCAGAAAGATGAGCTCAGATGCAGATCCAGGATTTAGCAATGAAATCCCCACAGTACCATATCTGCCTCACCCAAGCAGCTGAAATACTCACCAGAGCCAGAGCAGGATGGCACCATCACTAGGATATCTTTGCAGACTAGATATCATATCACTCAATCATAAACAAAGAGGCATTTCATTAATGTGTCATGGAAAGCACCTTCTGGCTTTTCCTCTGTGACCTTCTTCACCTATTCTAAGGATGGAATCAGGATTCGGTATAGTACCTCTTTTAAAAAGAATAGGTGTGATATCATGCTGCAATTAGTTCTTTGAAAACTCAGTCGCTTGTGGAGTGGTCAGACAGAGACTGCTCTCGGCATTTTCCCCTCCTGCCTAAGGATCTCCTGCGGAGAGCTGCAACAACGCCACAAAGGAAAGCTGCAGGTGATGCCAGTCAGGAGCCAAAGAGAAGATCTGCCCGGCTGTGTGCTATGCCCGTGCCCTTTACACCAGAGGTGAAACCTACAAGAACATCAACTCCAAAGAAACTGAAGACCTCAAATGTTATAGTGGAAGAAAACAAAGATGTTGGTGCCGTAACAATTCCTGAAACCAAGCCAGAAGATGTTAAAGAAGAGTGCAATGTGGAAAATGCTGAAAATGGAGAAGCCAAAATTATTGAGGCCCCCATTCCTAAAATGGAAACTGAGGAAATAAAGGAACAGATGAATGAAGATGCTGAAGAAGTTAGGGGAGAAGAGAACGAAGCAGTGGCAGCAGAAGGAAAAGGCCCATTCCTAAAATGGAAACTGAGGAAATAAAGGAACAGATGAATGAAGACGCTGAAGAAGTTAGGGGAGAAGAGAACGAAGCAGTGGCAGCAGAGGGAAAAGATGATGAGGTCGAAGAAAACATAGAGAAAGATGAAGATGGAAAAGAGGATGGAGATAAAGGTGAGGATGGGAATAGGGACGCGATCCCGGGAGAGAAGGCAGATTCAGCAGAAAGCGAGGATGAAACAAAGATGATGAAGAAAAAGGAGGCGATGAAAAAGGAGGTGTCAAATAGGAAGGGGATGGGAAGAAGTAAGAAGAGAAAGATGACAAGGAAGAGAAAGCTGAAGT